AAACCAGTAATTCAGATAAAAATAGCGGTATGCAGTGACAGGAATTCAGTAGACATTGATTCGACTTCTATTTATCCCTCATATTCGACTCTATAGAGCAGAGGAGTAAGAATCCTCATGAATGGGTTACGGGATGCACTATAAATTGGGATTGATCTAAAAGCATGGCCTCTTGGCTGTGATTAGTGCCGGTAAAACGACGGTGATAAAACATCGTCGATTGACAACTGATGAATTATCAACAGATGCGTAAAGACGATTCATAAATCGTGTGTCCCGGTGGCACAATTTGGTAAACAACAGAAATGAGACACGCACGGTTATGTAAAACTCAGTCAGCAAAGTCTTGAGTTCTTTATTTACGCAAAAACCCACGTTTATCCGGGATAAACCTCGTGGTCACGTAAACAGTTTGAAAAGAATATTCTGTTTTGAAAGGATATAAAGATGCCACCGAATGTGAATTAAATGTGGCCTTAAAAACAGAATCATATAAAATAGCCAGTTTTGAATAAGCCTATTTCGAGTCACGTTTCACAATCGAGTTGAATAATGCGATATCACAAGTTTCATAAGGTCTGTTTCTAACGTTTATTAAAAATTATTAAAAAAATAATGATAACCGCACACTAACTTCCTCTGGCAGTTACTTACAATAAATGAAAACCTTTTTTGATATTCACTATCTCCGCTTGGGCTAGAATTAGGAAACATGTTTCTGATTTCCACGACCCTTGCTCAATTTAAATCGTTACAATAACATCGGATACATTAGCAGTTGTATGGAAGAAATCTCGATACCTTATCGTCCTGAACAACAGCTATGAGTGAATGCAACACGTTTTTACTTTTCGGTAAAACTGCCACAAATTCCTTCCAGTTGATGTAACAAACTCTTAAACGCTATAACTGACATTTTGCTACTACTGAACTCCGAGCAACTGCTGAGACTGGCAGATAGTATAGGTTCTTAGATGCTTATGGGATTCTGCATATAAATGGAACCAGGAGCGTAGAATTTATAAAATTGGTCGAACTGTTTTCTGAAAAATGTGTAATCAAAATTGATCAATGCTTCCTGCTTCATTACGCCGAAAAACGGGTGATTCCGGGGCTTTTTAACAGAGGAAATAAAAACAAGCACTGCTAAATGCTTTGTTTCACAAAACTGTTCGAGGTATATTTATTTCATTTCAAAGGCTACCACATTTATAACAGTTTCTTCAAAGTTTAAACGCGTTGCATGTGCTTCATTTCTGTTCTACACGTTGAATTAATTTCCTATCAATTCGATACTCACCTCAAAACATTATCGAGATACAAGCCAAAATGATGTAATTATTTAAAATTCGATCAAATATGGAGTTGTTTTCTGTTCCGCAGAGGCAATGCAAATTTAACTCATCCAATGTGCGTCATATGTGCATGTGCAATGTCCACGAACAACTTCACCATAACGAAACCTTTACCAATCTTATAGTGCATCAAAGTGAAGGATGTTCAACGCAAATGAAACACAGTTGGAGAATGCTAGTCGATTCAGCTTTTGTATTGGATGCTGGAGAGAAAGGTGGTTTTTCCTTCATTGAAAGGCTGTTCAATCGAGCACAGCAGACTAGTATCGGTCAACTGGACAGTACATAATGGTGTGGTAAAGCAAAATTCACTTACTGACGGGTGCTTTTGCTGTAACCAATCGGTGTTGTTTCGTGAGAGGTTAGGGACGAATAGTCATGGCTTGGAACAGACGTGATTTTGCCTTCCACGGGAAACTCACAATGTGGGCATTTCGTGTGCCTATCACGGAGAGCACAAACCGGACTAGCTTTGGGAACCACAAACTGTTCCGTGTTTTTAATCGCTGTCCTTCGTGTATGTGTTTGCGATTACTAGAATGTAAGGGACTTTTATTTGAAGAAAATACTGTGTAGTAGTTGATCAAACAGTGTCAAATCTCCAATTAGGTTCCTTTTTAGTTCTGTCATCGTAATTCGGGGTCTTCTGTTTAAAATCATTCGGACATTTTTGTCCTTTATATAAGCGAACCGTTTTTGAGATCACAAATGAGGAAATAACGAAACAATATTCAAATTAGTTCTAATCAGTGATGTTGGTAATAATGTAACTTGTAGTCCGTCTGTTTTCACCAATTGACTTTTAGGCTCAGTATCCATCATGTGACAATGTAGCGGGTGCAATATCGTAAAAATCCAGTCAACATTTTCGGATTTCGCTGCAGAAAGTAAACGATTTGTTACAAATCTTTATCGGATATGCCGCTCGTGTGTAAATGGAACCAACTAAAACTCCGAACGAAATTACTCTGCCATCTCTAACTCCTAGTATCTAATTAGATTTCACTCCGGACGTGTTGGATATGAGTATAACAATAAAAACACAAGCCACAACAGGAACCAATCTACAAACTTTCGTTGGTTGTTTAGAAATTCCAAGTCCAACCATACAATTATTTCCTTTCAGGCGCCATGTTTTGCCTTGTGTTGTTCCCCGCAACTGCATGCTGGTACTTGTTGTCTGTGTGTATCTGTAATCCGTTGGTCCATCTGCTTGTCTCCATCCTGCTCTGGTGGTGCACAATCTCAAGATCCCTGAAACCGGTCGAAAATGCCTACGTCCTAAATGGATGCTACAGCCAATTCCTCTTTGTATTAATAGTGGGTCAAGTAGTATTATTGGGTAGTAACCTGTCCCGAAATGATTCGTTTTCCAAACCGTTATTCATGCCCGAACCGACACACAAACAGTATCCCTGAAATTCTGTGGCTCGGTTATCTGTCACATAAAAATTGAATTCTTTCTAAGATCATTCTGGTTCTTCGCCAATGGACAAATTGTAGGCACTATATATTTGATAGCGATCTTTGACCATGGTATAAGGATAGTAGTTTTACCCGATATTTATATTGTCCATTATAGTCCAAGTAAGAGTAAGGGTAGAAGGACAACCAATGCTTAGGTTTCTTACCAGTATGATGTATAATGCCACATACCATATTCGTAGGTGGTTAAAGGTTTCTGGACCGTATGAACCAAACACCCCGCCGGATTAATCACATGACCTCTTTTGTGAAGTCACCTGACCTATTCAACAACAATATTTTTGATTTCCAAGCTTTCATACTGTCCCTTGTAGTTTTCCGTTTACGTTTAGTATTGTAAGTTTTAGAAATTACAAAGGTTTTACATTTCTGTAGTCAGTATTTTGCCAGTTTTACTTTGGACATGCACACATCGGTTACAATTTTGTAACCGAATGTACACTGGCACACAGGAACTCATTTTTCAGGCGCAAGCAATTTGTGTTGAGTTTTATACATCAATCCGATTAGCTTATCAATTAGTTACGCTAAAATTAAATTCAGAGTCCGCTATCGGGATTCAAGTCTAGGTTCGTTCCAAGAACACGAAACCTAAAATTAGTTGAGTTTCAGAGAGACACTGCAGGAAACAGATTGTAGTCCGTTAGTTCGGAGCAACAGTATTTCACGAAAAATAACAGCGTATTGTTACGTGACCTTAGGTAGTGCGGTTGCATTGCAGTGCGATTTATTGTGGTGTTTCCTATTTTACGGGTTTCGAACTACCAAAACTCCACTACTCGCCAGCTGGAATTAGTATTAACTGCACAATACGAAAAAATCCTATTTGATTTTAAAGTACCATTTGAGACAGTAAAGTTAACGCAGATAATCCTCTTACGTCTATTCGACAATGACCTTATTTGTAGTTTTGGCCACCTATCTACACAAAAATGAACTTAATTTCCCAATTATCCCTTAATTATTACTGGATATCATTGGTGAAGACCTCATGGATGGAAGGGACAAGTAAATCCATCAAATATCTCAGTCTTTGAATTCGCGTTCGTGATTTCACATTAACTAGACAATGGTGATTTGCTTGAGGTTTCCTCTGTGGTGCTCGTTGATNGCAAATTAGTTGGGCAACAATCAGAGACGAAGAATGCTATTTTGTCCTTGGTAAGAGTTTTCATCAAAGTAAGCCATATTTTAGTTTTAAACCTCTTGGTATTCAAACTGTGACATAATTAGAGTATAACGCAAACTTCAAAACTCCGACTACGAGGTTAGTGATCACTAGCATGAGTGAGTGCATATATTGTGTTGGATTATTTTTGCCTTTGTTGAATTAGTTCTCCAATGATAAGATTTTCTTTCTGATTGAACTCAAATTAAGATTAAACTAAAATAAAAAATGCCATCGTCCCAAATGAAGATAACTACTGTATGGTATACAGTCATTTCCCGGATGTACTAAGTTGCAATGCAATAATTGCTGGAAATGTNTGTTGCGCATGTGTTCGGAACTAGCGTCATGCAATTGAAATAAGGGTATTACACTTAAACCTGCAATTTGGTTTTTAGATAAAC